ATTTCTTTTTAGTTTTTTTTTTCAATTTTGATTGTTTCTCAACTTTATTCACAGATTTCTTCAACTTTATATCAGATTGAAATTAGCCAAATAGTTGTATTCATCAATCTGGTTGGCTAGTTGGAAAACATCAAATCCTCTCCCAAAAATTAAAAGTAATATGAAATTTAAGAAACTTTCCAACAAATTGAGAAGGAGTAGATTTAATTTATATATCAACCTAAGAAATATTAATATTTTCTTCTTTTTCCTTATATTAAGGATGTTATCGTATATAGGCCTTGCATGGGTGCCCCAAACCCTACATCAAATACGTCGAAAGTAATTTTCGATTTTAGTCAAACAGAAATAAAATAGTAAGGATGATCACATTTGGTTTTAATATTTTGATAAAAAATGAAGAAGAAAAAGAACATTTGATTAAAGTTATTTTTTTATGCGTTTTTATTTATTTAAACGTTGAATTCAATAATAATAATAATACACCTCAATTTGTGTTATGTTAACCAAAAGTTTATTAGGGATTTTTAATATTTGTTTGCATATATTGCGTTTAAAAATTTAGTTTTGTTAAAATTGTTTTCATTATAAATCTTTTTTAAGAATGTGCTCATGAATTCTTCGTCCTTCATTTACTATTTTTATGAAATATTTTTAATATCCTGCGTTGCAACAGAAATTAATTTATATTTTGATTATTTATATTTGCTTTTGTTGATTAAATGAAATGTAAATAAATAGTTTTTTTTGCTTTTGTTAAAATAAAAATCAATCGTTTGGTACACAAAACATTTCCCTTTTAAATATATATAAATATTTTTTCTTATCTTTTACAATTAAAACTCACAAAATACAATTCACAACTACTTTATGTTCGTTTAATTTTTTCCCTTTCCTTTATTAGAATTTTTTATTATTAAATATATATATATTTTTTTTTTTGTTTATAAATCGTCGTAACTTTTTCTCCTCCTTTGTTTTTTTAATTTTATATTAATTTTGTTTTTATTTAAAATAATTTTAAATTAAAATAAAAATCGTATACATTTTTGAATTGAATTTAAAGTTTGTGGTGAAAAATATTTATTCTTTCTTTTTCACTAAAAAGTAACTTTCGCCAAAATAGTTTTATTAACAATACTACAAACACGCCCATCTGCGTTTCCACCTTTCCACAAATCCTTCTACTTTCTCTCTACTATATCGTATAATCCCTTCAACGCTAAAAACAGAAGAAAATATATTTGTATTTATTGCATTCCATTTTCCAACTACTTTTAAAACTTTACAATTTAACTTATATACATATATATATGTATATATATATATATATGTTATATATATATAATTTTGGTATAATATTTTGTTTTTATTTTAAAAATATTCACTTAAATATATATTTTGCATTTTTTGTCTTTGTCTCATCATTTACGTATATTTGTTACAATTGTAAGCATTTTATAATTAATTTTTATTTTTTTTTATTTATTTATTTCAATGTTTAACTTTATATAAACTACACATAAATGCATATTTATTTTGTATAATTTATTAGAGAAGCGTTTGTACGCAAAAATATTAATAAATATTTATGAAAATATAAAAAATAGTGTAACGTCTAAAAGTGGTTACATTGATAAACACTACCTTGTAAGACATATAGATAATATAATATAATATATATATATATATTTTTTTTATGGTTTCATAGTTTGAAGAGTTAACGAACATCAAAATTATTTAATTAATTTTAATATTTATTTTTTGTAAATTCTACATTTTAATACTTTTGCTTTGAAAGTAATAAACTTTGATTTAATTAGATATTAGATATAGTTCCAAAAATTTGCTAATTAAGATTCATATTTGAATGTTTAAATATTTAAGCTTATATGGAGAGCGTCAGTTTAATGATACGTATATATGTTTACTTTATAACAATAAATTATTTAAAATTCTAAGAGAAAAAATTTATAAAATAATAAACATACTATTAATGAATGTCTTATTTTTATAAAACCAACTGAAGTTATTAAATAATTATATATAAACAATGAATATTTTAATGAATAAATGAAAATAATTAAATTTTAATTATATTCATATAAAAGTAAATAAAAATATTTCAATATTCAAATAAAAAAACACATATTTTCAATATTCAAAAAAAATAAATGAAAATTTGATCAATATTATTATAATTATTTAAAAATATAAAAATAATTTTCGTATAATAAATAGAGTGTTTTATTATTTATTTATTCAAAAATTAAAACAAATAATAATATTTTATTAAATAATATTTTTATTGATTTCATATTTGTACACGTGTATTATATGAATTATATATGTATATACATATTAACAACCAGTTTCTCGCAACTGTACTTTGTTTTTCTTTTTAAAATTGAATGGCACTTATATTGGAGGGTCATAACAAGTCCTCTATTCTCCATCCATTGGTCCGCCATTCTAAGCAAATATTAAATGCTATGTAAATGCTAAATGTATATGTGATGCATACAATATTTAGTCCATTGCAACTTTATATGAGGCAGTAGTAGTAAATAGTGCCATTTAAAATCGAGTAAGACGAATACTACACTGGAGGTATGGAAACTCATCAAATTTTCTATATGTCTAATACGTAGAAGATTTCTCCGGATGAGGCTATATGCGCTCGGAGCATTTAATATTAGAAAGAAGAATAGTATCTGAATTATCCAATTAAAAAATTATTCAAACAGTTTTTGAAATGCCGTGTAAATTCAAAACACATTTAATCTTTTAGGTTAATAGTTCGCAGAGATTATAGTTTTTCCTGGTCGAATAATGTGATTAAAAAAAGTTTTTTTTGTAGCTCAGATCGATAAGAACTGTGGTAGTCTTATTCCTCGACTTAGCATTATAAACTTTTGCTTTGGTATTTTAAGTTCACCTTAGGTCCAAGGTGAGAAATATATATATCTCTTTTATATTATATTGTAGTGTGTATATGTTTTTGCTTATTTGCTGACCGTGCTATCTTTTATAATTTTCTATTGTCACGTTAAACTGCGAAAGTTTATGCAATAGGAATATAATATCTTGTGTATTATTTAAGAGCGGTGTTCGTATTGCAAGAGGCAAGTCATGGTATGTGCATACTACCGTCCCAGTAAGCTTAAGAATTTATAAATCCAAAATAAATCAGTTTGGATAAAAAACAGATTAAGAATGGTCTTTGATTTAAAATAGGCTGTACAATATAAAGGTTATATAGGTCAGCATAGGCCTATATAACTATATGTAGCCTAAGCAACAAAACATGTCATAAGTATGAAGTTTAAAAGTTCCGGATGTTGTTAGCACTGTCTATATAAAAAAAATATTTATGTAGCAAATATCGAATTGCGTGAGGATCGAGTTTGTGCAAGAATCGAGTTATTACTATATATAACATATATTTATACATATAAAACATTACTTAAAAAAATATATTTCAAATTTATAAAATTTTGGCGTTCTGTTTTTCATTTTGTGTTTAAAACAAAAAACCAATTTTTGAAAATATCAGCTGAATTAAATATTAATTAAAACTATTAAAAATAAATGGTTCATTAAAGAAATAATATTAAAAAAAAAATAATATAAAATATTTAAAATATTTTAATAGAATAAAACAGAAAAAAAAATATGCCAATTGTTGTACACTGAAGATGGACTACGTGGTAGTATGAAATATTTTGGTCTAATTATATTAAATAAATAAAATAATAAGTATACAAAATAAATATTTATTAATTTTTATTTGCACAAATAATTTAATAATAAATAAAATGTCGATAGAAATCATATCAAATTATGAACTATTTTTTTTTCAGATAAAAATAAGCAAAAAATTGTAGAAGTAAATACGATATGCAAATAAACTTTCAGGTAATCAAATAACAACAAAACATGATTTAGAAAAGAAATTATAAAAAAAATACTTACATTTAATTAACCAAAATTAGTAAAAACCAAAAGAAAAATCAAAAACAACTAAAAATTGTAATATTATTTTTTTTTTATTATAATTTTCATTTACAATTTTTGCTTAAATTCATAAACGTATATATTTGTTAAATATATATTTCATAAACATTAATTTGAATACCACATTTTTATAAGAAATGCATTAATTACAATTTTTACATTATAACAAAATAATTATAGAAAATCAACTCATTTGTTTAGATGGCATTCCATAACATAAATATTTTCGCTTTATTATTTAATTATTAAATATTAACACACAAAGAAAATAAAAAATAAAAATAAAAACAAAAATTCATGTATAGAATTTGAGCTTAGTTTTAATACAGCTACTTATATAAAATTTTTACACATATATAAATATTAAAGTTTTTTTTTCTTAATAAATTAAAGGAAATGCATTTTTATACTAAAACTTAATTTTAATATTTACAATTGTTTTGTTTTCTTTGCTTAAAATCTTATTAATTATTACCACTTAAGAAGATTTTTCTAGCTCTTCCAGAAATCTTATGCTAACTTACAGGATATACAATAAATCAACTAAAATAAATATTTTACAAAGAAATTATTTTTAAATGAGGTTTTAATTCAAAATTTTGATATTTATTCGATTTTGCAATTTTGTATCTTGTTTTTCTGTTGTTAAATACAATTTTTTAAATACAATTCTTTAATTTCAATTTGTTGTTAAATTTATGGCTTAGCATTTGGCAGTGGCATTTATTTTTTATTTATCCGTAAAGTTCGATTTCGTCGTTTGCTCTTTTCCTTTTATATAAAAAATAATTAAATCAGTCTATTTTAAAAATAAGTAAGAAAATTTTTATTTGTTTTATAATTTACTGAGCATTTAATGCTCAAAATTATTATTTTTGCTTTAATGAAATGTCAAAATTAACTATTTTTATTGCAACTAAAATTTTTAACAGTGTATTTATTTATTTTTTTTATTGTTGTATTTTTTTAATTTGTGCTTTTGTATTGATAAAAGAAGTTAAATGTTTTTTTTTGGACTAGAATTTATGAATATGTTTCATTTTCTTAATATTTTTAAAAACATTCTACAACTATAAAATATAATATATGGCGGCTTGTCTTATTTTATTTTAAAAATAAAATTTAACAAAAGTAGCGCTCCAGTCAAATTTCGTAGAAGTCAATTGCTTTAGTAAATTCATAAAATAGATATTTTAAATTATTTTTTTTTGTTTTAATTGTTTACAATTGACTAAAACTACTTGTTGATACCCAGTGCGCTGTATCTGGTCGTACCATTAACTATATTGGGCCATAGTCGCTTAGTGCTTGGCCCGGATGCTGTGAGCCAGGCCCTCCGGGTAATGTTACTACCACTGCTACAGCGCGTGAATCAATAACAGAACCCGGAGCAGTATTATGTCCATTGCCATTGCCACCACCATTGCCGCCGCCACCATATACATTACCTGGTGTTGCGCCACCATTACCTGTACCTACACCCCCTAAGCTAGTTCCATGTAACATGCTGCCAGGAGGAGCCCCAACACCCATACCGCCAACTGTACTATTGCTCATACCTGCCGTGCTCATTAGAGTACCGTGTCCGCCTAGCACGCTGCCACCGCCAATTGTACTGCCGCCGCCGCCTCCCATGGTTGAAGCTCCACCTGACTCTCCATGTCATACGTGACTTGCTGCTGGTTGCTTAAGTACATGGTGGTGCAAATGGTGGTGGCTGGTAGATGCTACCGAAGCACCACCAGCTTGTGTATATGGTGTGGCTAAAAGTGAACCAGCAGCTGAGCCAACTGGCATTCCCATACCTGAACCGGCATATGGATGTGGTATTGGTGGACGTTGCTTAATAAGCGCTTGATTAGCACCAGTACGATCTGGTTGTCCAAATAGTCTACGCCAGAAACGATTCCAACTTTCAAGAGTTTTACCCGACCATATCCAAACACCTGATGTTATACCTACTGCCAAAGCCATAAAATATTTTAACATGAGCACAGAGTAAAGTGGTTTTTTTCCAGGTCCTTTGACTTGTGCACACGGACATGCTAGTGCTCTTATCCAATCCTCAAAATACGCCGCTTCATAGAGATGACACCCAATTACAATAGTTGCTGGGACGGTATAAAGGACGGAAAAAATACCAATGCGTATCATGAGTTTTTCCAGTTTATCAGCTTTGACGCCAGCGCCAACACCGCCTTGCTGCTTAATCACAGAGCGTATGCGAAACAGTGACACGAATCCAGCCATGAGAAAAGTGGTGCCAATAACCAAATACACGAATAATGGTGCCAAAACAAAAGTTTTCAAATGATCAGGATTTAGATTGCCAACATAGCAGATGCCTAAAATTGGATCTCCATCGACAGCAGAAAGCAATAACACAGCCACGGATTGAACAGTGGGTATGAGCCAAGCCGCAAGGTGGAAATATTGCGAATGTTTTGTGATTGCTTCATTGCCCCATTTTAAGCCAGCTGCCAAAAACCAGGTGAAGCTCAATACAACCCACCATATAGAAGAAGCCATGCCGAAAAAGTATGTCAACAAAAAGACCAGTGTGCATGAATGTGGTCCTGTCGAACTTTCCTTCAGCAAACGCCCATCGCACGCAATTTCTTCATTTTGTAGAAAATTTTTCGAGAGGTAACCCACAGCAACCATAAAGTAACAAGCCGACAAAAAAACAATTGGTCGTTCTGGATACTTAAACCTTTCTGTGTCTATGATGAATGTTGTTAGTGTCATGAGCGTGCTGCAAAAACATAGGCCCGACCAGAGTGCTATCCAAATGCCGGCGAACTCCTTTTCGTCGTTTGTGAAGAACGGCCCCTTGCATGGAATGGCGCAATTTTGAACGCCGGCGATTCTTGCCACAGTCGAGTTGATGAACCAAGGATGATGCATTGGTGGCTGTTGCATCAATGCGTCTTTCCCCAGGAGTATCAACGGTGGACGACATGTGCATGTGCATTCCTTTGCGTTTGTTCTTTCTCCTAGGGAATTTTGGCAGTTTTTTGGATTTTTACCTTTGCATTTTTGTGAAGAGCCAGAACCAGATTGTTTACGTTTGCCGCCACTACTGCCCGAACCAGTACCCATACTAGAATCTCTACCTGAACCACTGCTGCCGCTGCCACTGCTACCAGATTCAGTATACGAAGGTTGTTCCATGCAGAGATTTTCCGGATCACCGTGGAAGGGCAAATGTTCACATGCCATACGTTCAGGCCATTCAAAACTGTACTGTTGCATTATAGGCGCACAACCAGCACGCGCACGTTCACATACTGATCGACAAACAGGTAAGGGCTTGTGATAATCCTCGAGGCATATAGGCGTATACATGGAGCAAAGGAAAAATTTCAGATCTGGTGAACATTTTATTTCAACTAATGGCCAAAATTGATGTACTTCCAAGCCCGCTTCTTCTTGCGTCTCATGATTCATTTCATTCGGAAACGTAGTCATATTATAACCAATACCGCGACACATTGGTATGGTGATTTCTTCACAACGCGAATTCGGATCCTTCGGCATGACAGGCACAGCATAACCAGGCGCCGGACTTACTTCCATACCATGTGAGCCCATGCCCATGCCCATGCCCATATGTCCATTACTGCCTAATCCACCACTATTCTCGCCCATATGTTGCAGGCCGTCGGCGTGACTGCTACGTGTATGCGCAAGCAGCAGCAGCAGGAGGAGGAAGGGACACATGCCGATAAGTTTGAATGAGTTTAAACGCTGCCGCGCGTTGCAATGCGTGTGCGTTTTATGTGTGAAGGACATCTTATGTTTATGTTCTGCTTTGAATATTGTTAGAGCTTTTGAGCGACAAAAGCTGCAATTTCGAGTACGTTTTTTATAGTTGAGCTGATCTGACGTTGGGATAAATCCCACGTAGAATGTCGACAATATTATGTTCAACACAAATTATATTTTGTGTGCAATTTTTTTTTTTGGTATTCCAATGAAGAGCACTTCACTTCCGTCGTTGTTATTGTTGTACACAACTGCACGTCAAATAAACAGTTTTCGAGTGTTAAATATTGCCTGGAAAAAGAAAAAAAAAAAAGCATTATATACTGGACATGTGACATTGTGCAGAATAAACAAAAAAAAAACTTTTATTTAAAGTGACATAAAAAAAGTTAAATTAAAACTTTTGTCTAAAGAATGTCAATTGAATTGATCCTAAAATAACAAATGTACATTAAGTGGTGGTGGAGAATTTCTCCTTGGAGATGACTGTCGTTTCTTTCTCATTAACCACTGGACAGCAACATCATTCTGCTTCATTTGTTTTAATTTAAAGTAAACATTTGGCACTTGGCGATATGTGACCGTAGTTGAGATCTACGCACATGAAGTGCGTTGATTGTGGAAGTTGGTTTCATCAAAACCCTTTTCCTCTTACTTTGATTGCAGTTGCTTTCCAAAGAATATGAAAATAAATAATAGAATGTGATGTGGTGTGGAGTGGTTGATAAATGCACAAAGCAAGTGTGAATGGTAGTAGCTCGGCTGGCTGAACGGTTGAACGGCTGTCAGACTGACCATATGCCTGAACATCAATCAAAATCAGTGATTTTTATTAAATTTGACAGCTATAAACGGTTGCAGTTATACAGACTTTATTGCTGGTGTTAGTGGTAGTCTCGATGAAACCTTTCACAGTTTCAGACTGTGATACTGATTCTGGTCGTGTTTCCATTGGTGATGCTACTAATACTGTGATAAGTGTTGAAATTGTGACTGATTGCGAATGTGCTGAATGTGTTGAACAGCAAATAAATTAATAAAATTGAAACACTTGTGGCAAGTTGTCTAGCAAATAAACTATTGACTGGTAAATTCAATTTATTGCTTTTAAATGAAAACTCCATTTATGTATAAATACGTTTAATGGATATTAACCCAGACATCTACTAAGTAATAAAGAAGCGAATAAGGAACTCAATGTTACTATTTAAGATAATTTTTTCATTAAATTTATTGCTTCATAAAAAATTGAATTAAAGGACTTTGAAATGAATTTATATTTCTTACAAATATTTTTATTATAAGCTATAAAAAAAAAAATAAAAAAATTAATAAAAATGTTGAGCTTATAAAAAACCTGACAACAGTTTACAATTATTCTTTAAAAGAGTTTTAAATAGTGTCAAGATACACTCACTGAGGCCACTCAGTACTTTTGCCCAAGTCACAGCTACTATCTACTATCTACTATTTTTTATTTTTCATTTTTGCTGATGCTGCACTGCTTAATTCAGCTGAACTTGAGGCAGCTGTTGCCTGAAAAGCTGTCAAAATTCTTTTCTCAATGTTGACGCTTGAGTCACACCGAGCAAACATATTGTATTCCACTTTCCTTCTTTAAGGGTGGCAGAAAAAAAATGGAAATTTGAGCGGTACAAGTTTCATTGCAATGTGGATAACGCCACCACCACCACCGCCGCTCACAACAATTTCCAACTTCCTCATCATCATGAACATAAGGCGCAGCATTGCTCTACTTCTGCTTCAATTTGGGGGTGTTCGATGGGATGCTGAGATGTTTATTGTTACTGTACACCGAATACGGACTCCGTTTGCTGTATGCTGTGCCTTGTCAACCCCTCCCTGCTCAGCTTTGTCAAATTGGAGTGAATATTTAAATTGTTGAAATGAATGAATGACATTTTAATTAATAACGTTTGTTGACAAATAAAGTAACTTAAGCGATGTTTGAGTTGATTGGATATTTTCTTAGGCTTATAAAAACAAGGTGGAGGAGTGCTTATATTCTAACCTATATAAAATTATAATTAATTAAATAAATATAGCATGTATACATTTAAATTTTATTTAAGTGCTGAAACCTAAAACCAACATATGTGTTCATAATGGTTCTCTTAAATTTTTTTTTTTCCTCATGTAAGAAGTAAGAATTGTTGTGGGAAATAAAAGAGGATCCTTTAAGTATTTGGGTTTTATGATCCTTTCGTAGGATAAACTTGTATTAGTATTATTAATTATTATAACAACTTAAGGTTTATTAAGATTTTTTAACTCATTTTAATCTAAATTGCATATTCATTAGAGTTGCTACTTCAAGTTAGGAAACAAAGCTACAGATTTTAAATTGTTTACATGTTTTTAAAATAAGATTTTAGTTAAAATATGAGATATAATGCAAAACACAATACTACTAGTTGGCTGTTTTAGAAACAGATTCCCGACAAATATCAGTTAATATAAACTTTTTTATAAAAAGACGATTTAGGTAAATGCCCAAGTATTGAAGGGTTTTAGCATTATTTTGAATGATATGTATTAAATCATGACCTATTTGAAAATTATTTTTTATTATTTTTTCTATATAGCAACATAAGCTTTATTAAAGGTTTTAGATGGTTTTACCCCATGGGTTCTCAATAATACGGTATCACAATGGGCCTATAAGCCTAAGTGGATCGCCGGTATAACCTAACCTAACCTATCTAAAATCTTTAGCAAATTCTTTATTCCAATCAAACTAGGTTTGGGAATGCTTTCAACTTCTTAATACTCTATCATCGAGGAACTATGTTACCTTAATGTGTGTACCGGGATATGAGGTTAATAAAATGGTAAAGAAAGATGCATATAATTCTTTAATTGAATTAGAACCCTTCTTCGGGGTAACAAATAGCATCACATAAAACTTCATATGTGAACGGAAGAAACGAAATTTACTTGAACACTGGAGAGCCCAAATAGATTGCCCAATGCGGCAATTAGAAAGATTCATTGATCCTGAACAAATTAAAGTTGACGCTATCAACGATATTAAACTTTACATTGAACTTTTTACAGGATACTGTAGACTCAATTAGCACATGAAGAAAATAAGTGGGATAGAAAGTGATAACAAAACATATTCTATGCAACTGTCCAGCGGCGACAAGACGTATACTTTACTACATTGGAAGTGGGATCTTGGTCGCAAATCAAATAGGTACAAAAACTAACCCCACAGCAATTACGAGATTTATAAATGGTCTAGATCTTTTAGGTCGGGGTGCATTTATAGCTTATTATTTAATAATAATAAATACTCTTTGAAGTATTAAATACTAACAACTAAAATAAGAAATAATCAGATTGTACTAGCTGCCAGTGAACGGACCACTGCGACTGCCTAACTGAACAGAAGACAGTCCGTCTTTTCAATGAAAACGAAAATATCAAGTGTTGGGAACATCCAAACATCGGACGACAATGGGAACTCCCGAACCAGTAGTTTTTCCTGGAAATTTTTTGTTTAGTAAATACTAAACAACTAAGCAATACTTTGTAATATCGAATTTTTTAAGCAAATTATGATTTTATGTTTCATTCATTTTTCATAAGATTGATTTACTTTTTATTTGAACCTGAGGATAAAATATCTGAGTTACTTTAGTTAAGTAAATTACGTTAAAGGTTTTTCAATATATTTTTTTATGATTCTGTTTTTTCGAACTGTAAGCATTATATATCCATGTTTTTCCTGTTTTTTTTTGTTTTACCATTATACCATTATATATATTTCTTTTAAATTATAATTTCTCCTTACTAATTGCATAAGTGCAGTCAATGCTTTTGAAACCTCTTGAAGCGGACTGCATTGCTTAGAAAGCCTTTATTGAATCGATTTTTCTAATTATTTTCAAGTAAGTTAAGTAAGCAGCAAAAGGTAAACACTTCAATTAATGTTGAATAAAATTTCGAAATACTTCAAATACAATAAACGTGCAAGATCTACCGAAACCGTACTTAACACGCATGTGAACTTGTTTAAAAAATGCTCATTATTGAATATTTTTGCTGGTCATTTTATTGTTTTTTTTTCGTAATATTATCTTGGCATACATGATTATACTATACTATTAAATATAAAACGCTAGAGATTATGTCTAATGTTTAACGAGTCATATAATCAAATTTAAGTTCAAAGTTTATACATATAATTGATAAAAAAATTTAAGATTCATTACATTTTTACTATTATGTAGTCTATAAAAATGAGATAAGAATAATAAAAAATTATAATTAGAAATAAGTTCATAGGTTAAAGTCAGGTATGTACAGGTACATATGTACAGGTTTGTCCATTTTGTGGTTCTAGCGGTGAAGGTTTCCACAAAAATTTATTTTAATATATTGATTGTACTCGTAACTTGATATATACAACACTTAAATCTGTTCCATGGAATATATCACAGTATGTGATCCTTTTGAAGTTATAGTCTGAGGCAAGCAACCGCAATAATATAGCTCTGTCGTGACTTAACGGATGTTAGTTGTCAAACTGTCATGTCATATATAAACTTTGTGTAACCCATCATAAAAAAATTTCTTGACAATAAATCGTGTGATATTGGTAATCAGCTCATATCACCAAAACGTAGTGATCAGGACTGACAGTTTTTGTCACGCCTTCCTCATTTAAAAAACTCATGGGTATGTTAACTGAAAATGGCAACACTTGAAATAGGTTTATGGTCAGTTTTGTTTTAATTCATTACTGTACAGCTAACACCAAGACAGGAATATTACTGGATTAAGCACAGGGTTGTTAACCGACAATTAATTATTTTGAAGTATTACTTCGAATGTTTGTCTTCAATACAACTTCCAACATTTACACATAATTTTTTGGAAGATGGGATTTTGTTAATGATAAGTAAAGTTTAATAATAATACAGAAAAGAAAAGAAGTTATGAGGGTTCTGGACTAGTGAGATATATATAACCATAGTATATTGTTGGTGTCAGAAATTGCACATAATTGAATGAAAGCCACTCAAAAGGTTAGCAAGTCTTTTGCTGGGTATATACTAATATAAGACTAATATCGGAGAGAAAGCCGAACAGCATATTCAACGCAAAGCCGATGACAACCAGGCACAGAGGTAGGTTAAGAACAAGATGGGATGAGAACGTGTATGGTGATGCAAAAACGATTGGAGTACTGAACTGGAAGAGAGCAGCAGAAGATAGTGACAGATGGAGGCAGATCGTGAGGGAGACCAAGATTCATACTGGACTGTAGTGCCAAATAAGAAGGAAACTAATATTGGACCTTCCAAAGATCAAAGCCCAAGAATCATAAATGATGTGACTGGAACAAAAATGACTTGTGTCTCTTTCTGCAGACCAACCCTGTTGAGAGTTGATATGTAATAGATTTTGATAATCGTTGCTTTGCTGCTGGTTTAATATTCTGATTTAAATGTAGGTGTAAACATTTCCTGCTTATTTAAGGCATGGAATTTTGTACTGTCCGAAAAAATTTGGAACATCTGAACATTAATAGTTACTAATAAATTTTTCTTTACACTATTTTAGCACATTAAAAACACTATTAGTTAGTAACACGAGGAGCTTCTAATTACATAAAATTCTGTACTCTATTTTTATGGCTTGTACTTGTTAGACTACTTAATGTCTAGTTTCATCTGTGTATCTAGTCGTGCTTAGCCTATCGTAAAAAGTTTAGTTATCTTTATTTAGCTAAGTCAATAATTACTTATTTTTGTTAATAATCCGTTGAAAATCATTTGAAAACATATCTCTATTATACATGCCAGTATATTCTCGTACATATACGGTTGTGCTTACTTGAGCAAATGCAACCATATAGGTATAAGAGCATATACAGAAAATGTTTGGTTACAATTTCAGTGAATAACTAAAACTATTAGTTTTAATTAAATTTGCACGCAGCATCAGTTCCATATGTTCAAATCTGTAAAGGAACGTGTAATTTGTAGTTCGTATCGGTTAATGAGGCAAACTTAAGTACCTGAAACTGATGTGCAATTTCGCAGGCAGGCTGGCAGGAAGGATAGTTGCCTTTCAAAATATTTATTTCGTGTTTAGTGTTTTAAATTTTTTATTTAATTGCAATTTTGTGTGTGGAAACACATCTGTGCTCGAAAAAAAAAAAATAATACAAAAACAAAAAAGGTTTTATGGCACAAAACAAAATTTATGTTAAAATTATGCATTGCCTTAGCAAAGCTGACTCAAAGGCTAGCAAATATGCACTATAAACTTTTCAAAATCTACTGCCGAGAACTCTTAATGCTTCTTAACTTTTTAATTTAAAAAGTAACACAAAAACATCAAAGCTTAATCCACACAAAAATGCAAAAAATTCAACAAAATGCTGGAAAACCGTGCGGCGAAGAGACCGGCTCAATGAGCACGAGTACTGAACCAGGCAGTCGGAGCAGTCGGAGTGCAAATGTAAAATCTGTTGCGAAATGCACGAGTTCGTAGGAAGCGGCTTGAGCAGGATAGGATGGTTAGTCGGTAGTAGGTTGATTATGTAGCGAAAAGTAACGCGTAATACAAGCAGTTGGATTGGGTGGCTGGGAGTGCAACGTGTGCTGCAGTCTACTACCGAGTAAATCTTTTACCATTTAAATGTCAATGATTTTAATGGGCGGACGCGCAAAACTCTTACAAACAAAAATGCCGCGTACAAAGGCAAGAAACAAAAACTCGAAAAAACAAGCCTTAATACGAGGAAAACGCACCGATATTGTTGGAACTGTTGCAGTCTAGCTGGAGATATACATATATACATATACAGAATTAACCGTACATATATATATGTACATACATTGTAATAATGTTCTTAGTTCTTACTGTTTCCATGTTGTTGTTGTTGTTGTTGTTTAGTTGTGTTGTTATTGTAGTTGTTGTTGTGGTTGTTGCTGATGCTGATGATGATGAATGGAAATTTAACACAGCGCAACTTGCTGCACGCAGCAATGTAGTGCAAAGCTGTAAATGTGCTGTATTCGTAAGGTCATAGAACTTGTTGTCTGGGGGGTATAAAAATAAAAACAAAAAAAAAAAAATAAATAAATAAATAATAAGAGAAAAAAAGTTTTTCATTTTCGCTTTTTGCGGCAACAGCACAAACACTAAACACCCACAACTGAGGTGTATTAGTTAACAAAAACAGGCTCCCAATATTCCTCCTCCGTAGTAGTATTGTTTATACGAGGAGTAAACACTCTCTGCTGCTCTCAGGTTTCGTTCCTAGCAACGATTTACACTTGATTTTGTTCATGCACTTTGTCGATGCACTACTTCAATTCTCACTAATAATGGTCCATAGGATACTACCAATATCGCTCCCACTTTTACTCAAATATCGCAGAGAAATTGTTGAATTTATTTTACAATTTTTTTCTTTTTTTCCCGTAATTTCATTGAAAATTCTTTCAATTGCTTTTCGCGGTTGATTTTCTGATCAAAGTTGGTTGATTCCGAGTAGCATATTTTCCCGAAAGTGTTTTTGTTTATGTTTGTATAAATGTATGTTTATGAAGCCAACAAGGGTTAAAGTTCCTAGCTTTGTTCACCTTCAATCGTAAAATCGTAAAATGAAAATTGTCTTCACAAAAGGCACACAATCGCTATTGGTTTACTTTGAATTTTGAAAAGGTGAAATTTTTATTTGTACGATTGAATTTCAAATGAAAGTTTAAAATTTCCTTCAATTTTAAATTTGCAATTTTATTTATTTATTGACTTATTATGCCCTTCACACAAGTAGTGTTAAAGTGTATATTAAGTTTGTCTAAATGTTTGTAATGTGAAGTAAAGAAAAGACGTCGGATACTATATAAGTCATATCCTTATATAAGGCTTAATTATGAGTATGAGAAGATGAATGGATTTAGTTGTATCCGTCTGTTTGTATGTCGACAAATAACGCATATAAGTTTAAGAATTAATAGTCATATGAAAATTTTTATAGGAATTTTCTATGAATTCAGACAGATGAAGTTTATATATGAATGAAATCAGTTGATTCCATCATACACGTAGAAAATCTTTTGTGATGTATCTAACTATATGAATTTCGAGATATTATGAAATAATTTTTGAAATTTTTTGATGGCAAAAACAAAAAAAAGTGACATCTAGCGGTAATTATAAAATAGAATATTAAATAAGCGGGGCACTGGCTCCCAGTGAAATACATTCAGAAAGATCAAAAGAACAACTTCGGCGAACATGCCTAATCTTTTGAGTTTTTTACCAATTTTAACTAAATAGAAGATATTTCCACCTTTTATACCTTAAAAGATATGTTACATAGAATTTAAGCTATTGGGGACATTTTAACTTCGCAGGAAGTTAGGTGGAGCAGAATCCTTCTGACCCAGATTAAAACCGAAGAATTACAGATAATGTGATTATCGGCCTCCAAGCAGAGAAGGCATTCCGTTTCTAAACAAAAAAAAAATACATATTGTTAAGATGATAAAACAGCGCTGAGAACAGAGGTGTTACTATAGTTAAACGGATGCATCAGCTTTTCAGCGTCGAGCATCACGTCAATATTGACAAATCATTTATCTATCAGAGTTTTCTAGCTTCTGTTTTAATTTCATGAAAAATAAATTCCATCTTTCATATTAATTAATGTAAAATTGTTCATTTAAATTATTTTGTTATTTTGTTTTATGTACCTACATACATAGTTACTGGCTTAGAAAATTCTGCCTTCAAATTTAATTAAAAACTTTTCAATAAATTCTATAGACCCAACCCAGACCCAGACCACTTGACGACGTTCAACAACTGCATTGTTCAAATAATAATATTTTATTTTAACTTTATTTACTGTGTACTTTCTTAGCCACTTGATATTTGTTTCAATATTTTAGAGGCAGTGGCGATTTTAGTTTTGTTACATATTTGGCCTTGCTACTGCTGCCATGCTTGTGTTTCTTTACGAACTATCCACTTATCCGAACATTTCCACTCCTAAATGACTATGTTTACTTAATTAATACAACAGAGCACTGGCAAACGCTTCATCATGTTTTCCATGTTTGCCATGTTCGCAGCAGTGTTTGTTGCTACAACAACCACTGCTCAACTTTGCTCGAATCAAATGTGCATGTTGTCTGCTGTTTGTCCATCCGTCCATCCGTTCATCCGCCTCTGTGCGTCTACTAAAGCTAAAAATTGCGCCTCTGGCTAACTGTTAGCCAATGTGTGCATTTCGAGTACAACTCCGCTTCACTTTATCACAACTCAACGATGTTACGTACTAGTTAACAATACAAAATATCTCGAGTGAAGTGATCTTGGCGACAGACATAATGGGTGGCAACACGATGCCACGATGCTACGATGCTCCTGCCGCAGAATAAGACAGACGTGTCTTTGATACAAGAAAATCTCAATGTTTTCTTTTTTTACTTTTGTATTTTGGACAAAATTTTTACTTTCTTAAAAACAAGTTCAAGACAAACACTTCGTTCTGGCATTTCGTATGAAATAACTCTTTTTATCTTATTATTATTCTATTCATCTTTTACTGTATCGTGCTTAACGATCTTGTCTGATATTTGGCTGTGCTGCTAACTTGGTTAACAATGGATCGTGTTGTATTGAGACTATGTAAACTATTTTTTACTGTTTACTTAGGACTTCAGTGTTGACTTTGTGATGAATTGTGTTTACTTTCGTTGAAGCTCTTCTAAGTGAAGTAAAAAACTTGAAGATTTAAATTGATTATAATGAATTGCATATCTATAACATGCAGGATATTTTATGTTGCATCAATTTCCAAAACATGTTTGTCTTTAGGCGGTAAAAATGTTTGCTATCTCATTTAGTCTGAGTCTGAAAAACATCTAGAAGATTTTGCTGCACGATTCTAATGTATGTGAAGGGTAAAGGTGAAGAAAAAACTAATTTTTTAAATACAATATCTTCATCAATTCAAATTTAAACAAGATTTTTTACGTAGTTTATTATGCAAAATTTTAGTGCTCATAATTCTTATTCATACTATATGTCTTGTTAAAAAAGTAAAACAATTTTTGTAATAAAACTGCGTTAAATAAATAAATTAAATAAAAAAATTTAATACTTGGAATGAAAGTTCATACATATGAATTTAAGTAACGGCGTCGCATTCGATCCTAGTCAATACGTTTTATTGAAGTGGTGTACACTGTACAGCCATCGATCTAAGGACGCTGTGGGCTATTTTAAAATGTATTATCAAATTTAATCCTATCTTATTTAATATATTTCTATGTCAATATAGTAAAAACGTTGTTAGTAACCTCATCTTTTGGATAAATAACAAATTGGATAAATAATTAATAGTTTTTTGGGATGATATACATATTAT